CGTCGTAGCGGTAGTAGAATTCTTCAGCTATAGCACTCACTACATGCAATTACACACAACCATACAATAGGATCATGGGGTAAGATGACAGGAAATAAAATCTAATGTAACAGCAGGGTGGAGGGAGAGATTGATAACCGAAGCTTTATTTATCGAATCAATTGAGGAGACTACGTGTAATAGGAGTGATTCCACACCTGTCCACCCAGACATCTGGAAAGTTCTACTACAACGAATAGGAAGAAATAAAGAAAACTATAAAAAAACCCAAGTTTCGAAGTTGTGTGATTATAATTCATGAAGTGTGATTATGAACAATACTAGATTGTGTTCGAAACTTCCAGTCAGCCAGTAAACAGTAATACTGTTTCACACTGTGTGTGATAGATATATCTAATAAACAAATTAATATGGAATTATAGGAAGGCTAAATATTGATTTATTTTGATCGGAATCTGCGCATACAAGGCATAGGTTAGCCTAAACACATTTAGCCGCTTAGATAGAGATCAAAGTAGCATATATATATTTGATCTTTTCGATGAAGTTTTAGCCGTTTATTAGTTTATACTACAGTATTTAAAAGTAAAAGCTTCACCACTAATAACAGCATGTAACCTGAGTTGTATTTTATTTTTATCTAAAGGAATATTTTTATATAAACTGTGGTACTTTGAGGACATGATTAATCGTTACAAACAGCCTTTCATAAAAGTTTCAAGTAATTGTAATTAAAGACTTGAATACAATTAATAATCTGTTTTTATTTTTCTCACAGACCTCTTACATCGGCCTTTTTTTGAGTTAACGATACAATGTGTGTTGTTGTTTTTTTCCATTCTTTCGTGTCCTGATTGGACACATTGAACTTTAACCTCTCAACTTAATTTGTTTTCACAGGGTAGAGCCGTTAGCCTAACGCTAACTAAACCCTCCGCCACTTTTCTTTTGGTCTTGTTACCGGCTAAGTGGTATAGGAATGAATCGGTCGGGAGTCGAACCTGGGATTGCATGCATGCCTGACGGGCATTCTACTACTGAACTACCTGAATCATTACAGAGAAGGAGTAAATTTAGCGTTCGCGTTTGTAGTGATTAGATAAAATTTGGTTATTTTTACCGATAACTAACAGGAGTGTCAAAAAATTCTGATGAATAGTGATCACCGCCTCAATAAATTTCTATTACCTCTATTATTATTATTTTTCCCTTGAGTTCCTAGTGGAACATAGGGCTTCAACTGCACGTCTCCAGTTGCTTCTGTCTTCTGTTGTAGTTTTCACCTGCATCCATGTTAGTCCATACTGTTTCAGTTCCTCTTCACACGATCTCCTCCATGTCACCCTTGGACGTCCCACTCGCCGCCTCCCTTCCGGGTTCCACTCGAGCGTTGGCCTTACGCGCGATGTCACCCAGCGGCCTCTCATCTCAGCGAGTGTCCAATCCATCTCCACTTTCTCCTGTATATTGTTGAGCGATTGGTTCTTGTTTTGTTTGTTCCCATAGTTTCGTGTTGGTGATTCTTTCCGGCCATCTGATCTTCAGTATAGAGCGAAGACAGTTGTTGATAAAGGTATGCAACAGGCTGTTGGAAATTTTCTTTGTGACCCGCCAAGTTTCTCATCCGTATAGAAGAACTGACTGACTTGACGTTTGTATTGAAAATCCGAATTTTGTTGTTGATGCAGGCTGAGTGACGAAGATTTCCAGATTGGTTTCAGGTTGATGAATGTGTTTCTCGCCTTCCCGATTCTCGATTTGACATCTTCGTCCGTTCCTCCTGTAGTTGAGACAGTGCTCCCTAGATAAGTGAAAGAAGTAACCTCTTTCAAATCCCTCCCGTTGATGGTGATTGGCAGTGAATGTTGCTGCTGCTGTTGTTGTTGTTGGTTGGTTATTTTCATAACCTCCGTCTTGTCTATGTTCACCTGAAGTCCTGTCTTTGCTGCTTCTTCGACGAGTTTGTCGGTTTTCGCTTGTTAGTCTTCGATTTTGTGTGACATCAAACATAAATCATCCACGCGCGAAATCCAGGTCTCCTAGGTTCTTCACGTCGGTCCAGGATATCCCTGTCTTCTCTTTTCTCACTGTCTGACGCATAATCCAGTCCACCACAATTAGGAATATCATTGGTGATAATAAGCACCCTTGTCTGACTCCTGTGTTTACTACAAACGCCTCGCTGAGTTTTCCGTTGTGGATCACTTGACATGTGCCGTTGTCGTACAGCTGTTGAATAAGGTTGATGGATATTTGGGGTACGCCATAGTACACGAGTAGTTTCCAAATTACTTCGCGGTCAATGTTGTCGAAGGCCTTCTCAAAGTCTATAAAGTTGAGGCAGAGGTTTGATTGCCATTTCATGCTTTGTTCTATTACCTGTAGTTTCTGATAAAATGTCTATTTGCAGTTTTAGCCTTTAAAGGTGGTAGGTTAATTGTAGAAATATTCGTTGAACTTGGTGGTAACAGACGTTTGATGTCACTCATATTCTTTCTTTTTTGACTGTAGAGCCAGTACACATTATGTATATATATTTCCCTATAACCTTCATTTCTGATTGACACTCGCAAGAGCTGGAATATTTCTTAAGGTGAAATATATGTAATTTTCTACATGTAAACTGCTATGAAATACCCTTTAGGTGAAATTTGTTTGTTTCTTCCAATGATATTTCGAGTTCAATTCTGTTCTTACTGACCGACCGCTTTCTATCGTTTATTTAACTGATTTCACAATACTGAACATAAGTAAAGTATCTGTCTTCGAAATTCAAAAAATGAGGTGTTCAGAGAAGAGTTACTGTTTTTTCAAGGTGTACAACGGCATACATATAGTAAATTCTCATAGCAAAAAGAGGAATTTTTCCAAAAATGTGTCATTAAAATTGTAAGGTTTGAATGACAATTGTGTAATAGGGAAAGCAATAATCGGAATAACAATAAATAAAAATTAAATAAGTAAATTTGAGTGGCGTTATGTAATTTATTTTTTATTTTTTAATTTTATTATAGTTTGATTCCACACAGTATTTCGGTACAAGTATGAAATTTTCAGCATGTGATATCGGTAGCCCAAATTTAGCAGGCCGACCATAGATATCAGGTGTGCGTCGGCGGGGGATCGAACCTTGGAACATGTGCATGGTCGGCGAGAGTCCTAACCACTGTGCCACCGACGCACACAAGATTGAGTAGAACTCAACTGAAATTGAAAAAGTGTCAAGATCAGTGTTATGTGGGGGGGGGGTAGAAATGTAATAGTGTCGCGTGGGGAGCAAAAAATAATATCATTGAAAATTATCAAATATTGGTCTGCAGGGATTTGGTTGGTTACAGAACCAATCACGAGTAATCATCGGTTAGAGAACCATTAGAAGCCATGGGAGTGCTGGACAGCTGTTTCGTCCTAGTTCCCAGGTGTTCTAGTGAGAAGTCGTAACCAGCTGAGTTCACCAAGTCAGGCAAGGGCACATCTACTCGGCTGTGAAACTGGCTGACAGTTGCGCTAAATATTTATGTCGAATTGGTAGTAGTTGAAATTCATGGACCATTGGGTCGGATCCCTGTGGCAGACTGGTCTAACTGCTCGCTTCACATACGGAAGGTCTTAGGTTCGAATCTCAGAGGGTATTTATTTCCACAGAGTTCCAAACTGGGACTGAACAGTAGTCCACTACTTCCAGATTTTCCAGTAATTAAAAATACCAATAAAAAAAATTAGGATCAGGGATAATCTTTTGTCCTGTGTTAAGTCAAATTCGGTTTAATTCAGTTTCGGTGGCTGAATAAATTTCCTTTGTATGCAGAATTGAGGATTTAATATGGTAATTGCTGTAGCTTCTGGTGCTTGAAGAAGTTTGATTTATACTCCTGTGACAAGATTTTCAGGTACTCTTTTGATGACTCTGAAGGTGGTTCTTGGTGTTCAGAATCGATGAAGTGTTGAAGAATAGAGATGCAAGGGGAAACAGCCTCAGAAACACACCTCTGGAAAGAGTAGCTCTTTGCTGAAGACTTCTTCATTTATATGACTTAATGGGAATTTTCAAGTTTCTTCCGAATTTCGCACTGTTTTAATGAAAATTAGCATGGAAGTTGAAAATTATCAACGAGACATATACGACGCATGCTTGAAGGGCTTCATATTCTCTTCAAAGATGTTGGATGTGTCAATCTGCGGTCACACACTTTTTCAGAGTTTGTTACCTGAAACCTCAGAAGTTGCTTCCTTCATTTATCTGGGAAGCATCGTTTCAACTACAGGTAGTCGGAACTGACGAAAATATCAATATCAGGTAGAATAAGAAAGGTGAGTTACTCCTTCATCAACCTGAAACCAATTTGGAAATCTTCTGCACTCCCTCTTAGCATAAAGAATAAGATTCGAATTTTCGACAGAAATTTGAAAACAGTCGGTGCTTCTATACGAGTCAGAAACTTGCACTGCATGTCGCGAAAAGGATTTCCAACAAGTTACAGAATTTCATCAACAACTGGCCCCCTTTGCTCACTCTATAATGAAGATCAAATTAGTAACAAGATACTCTGGCAACAAACCAACCAAGAGCCAATTGCTCAACATATATGTCAGAGAAAATGGAGATGGATTGGACGCATGCTGAGGAGACCGTCGAATGAGATCGCGCGCAATGCAGACTATTGCTAGAGTGGATTCCCAGTGGGAAGCGACGAGTGGGCTGTCAGTGATAGGGTGACATGGAGGAGATCGTCTGGGGAGGAGGAGGATATGAGAGATTACGGGTAATCGTGGACACAGCTGAACAGGACAGCAAAGAATAGAAGAAAGCGGATATAAGTATAACCATTATGGAGAAGAAAGCGGAGTTGTGTTATAGAAGCTCTATCTTCCACTTGAAACCCAGGGAAATAATAATACCTAAAACTTCAATTTTATACTATGCTTTTTTTTATTGCTATACATGTTTGGAGCGATTAACAATTTTCAACGACATCTTGTGTTTTATGTACACTTCTCAGTTGTCATCCAATTTCCAAACGATACGTGGTTTGTATCATTCGATGGTATGTTTGACAAGAAGTACGAAGCTGCACAAATGCATTTTCATTGGGGTAAAGATGATGAACGTGGCAGTGAACATACGATTGATGGGAAAACATTTCCTTTAGAGGTAATTTATTTATTTATTTACATTGCATACTTCTTAACAAATTTTATTTCTAATCAAATCCCTAGTTGACATCATTCAGAAAACTAGCGAGAACTGGACAGTTGTTTCGTCCTAGTCTGCCACTCTTCAGTAGTATGTATATACCCTTGAATCCACCACCAGCGGGGGGTCAAAACTACGAACTACAGGTGAAAAGGTCAGCCCGTTAACTGTTCAAACACAGAAATGTAGTCCAGTGGTCTATGAATTCCAATAAAGTCAAGACCTGTCACCACTAAATTATTAGTCAGTTAATCTTCGTATCATTTTTAGGTGAAAATATGAAATTATTGCCATTAGTTAAGCTATAACTACGTAAGCTTTATAGTTATCAAGTGTACTCAGTCAACCAAGATATTGCCACCTTGCAAATGCAAAGATATTAGTAGGTTTCAGTGAGGTCATATGTTTCAGAAATTTGTACTATTCATTTGTGCTGTTCACCTAGTATGTTTTTTTGTTAATCTCAGTTAATTTCAAGTGGTATAACGTGATTTGAAAATGCCTTTGTATTTAAAACGCTTAACTTGGGTTTCTCAGGCTTTCTCGTTAACACTTATCAGAATAATATTGTGATGGTAACCGTGAACAAGAGCACGTGTCCATGGAGTAATCTACCGCAAAATGGCTGAGATATCTAGATTATTCGATCACTATAAAATAATTGCTCCTTTTTGATGAATAAAAGAAGACGTGATAGGCTTTTTGTGAATTAGTATTTGTCTTTATGGCTTAAAGGGTCGTTCCGTGTTCACAAAGCACGTCAATGATGCACGCATCAGTTGTTTTTGCTATAAGGCGTACTTGTAGATACTTAAATGATCTTGACCTGAGGCCAGCTTCAGCGTTGCGTGTATTTATCACAAATTTATATCTGCCCGAATATTTCCTGATATTTTTTAAAAAAATACTTACAATTCAATAGATTTTAAACTTTCACTAAATTTTTTTTCATGTAGAAATTTAGAATTCATGGGCCATTGAGTCGGGTCTCAGTGGCTGAATGGTATATGAGCTCGCTAGCCTTGTAACCAGAAGGTCTTGTGTTCTGACCCTGTTGGTGGGTGCGTACTGCCGATGATTCTCAAACTAGGATGAAACAGCTGTCCAGTACTCCATAGTTGGCTTTCAACAGTTCTCTAACTGATATTAGTCCGTGATCAACTCGTAAAAAAAAATCTAATCCTTACAAACCAACTTTTGAAAATTTCATGTTTCGTTAAGTATTTATCAAGCTTGAAATATGCTGAAGTTTATCGTCTGGTAGCTTTGGTTGTTTGATGAACAGACCTATTATAACATCCATGCTTGCTTTGAATACTTCGTTCCCACACTTCACAGACCTAACAAGTGGTCTTTACTTTTCACTTTTATATTTTTACAGCGTCCAAATATCAACAAAGTCTTGTATATTGCTTGAATAGTCTCAGAAAAGGTATTTTACCTAATGAAGTCAAAGGGGCGGTAGTTATTGATATACATTAGGCCAGTTTTTAATAGAAAAGATGTCCATCCCAAGTAAAATACTAAGCCGCATCATCCTGGAGAGGATCAAACAAGCCCTGGAAGAAAAACTTCGACCGGAACAGGCTGGATTCAGGAGAAACAAGTCATGTATTGATCAAATCGCCACATTACGGATCATCATTGAACAAAGCTTGGAATGGCAGTCACCTCTCTATCTCAACTTCATCGACTTTGAAAAAGCATTCGACAGCGTCGATCGAGAGGCGATTTGACAACTACTTCGCTACTATGGGGTGCCACCGACAATTATACATCTCATCCAACAGCTGTTCGACAATGCTGCAGGCCAAGTAAGCCCCAACGGGAAACTTACGGAATCCTCCGAAGTGAGGACAGGAGTAAGACAAGGCTGGCTGCCTACCATCGCCAATGATTTTCTTGATTGCAGTAGACTGGATAATGCGACAAACAGCGGGCGATGAGGAAACAGGCATAAAGTGGACTCACACAAAAAACTTGAAGGATCTGGACTTCGCCGATGATATATGTCTGATTTCCCACAAACTGGAAGATATGCAAGCGAAAGGCAACAAGTTGGCAGAAGAAGCATCCAGAGAAGACAGGACTTCAGGTGAACATAGACAAAACAGAGGTGATGAAGATTCCTGGGCAACACCACCAACAGCAACAACAGCAGACAACAATCAGCATAAATGGGAGGAACCTGAAAGAAACAACCTCCTTCACCTACCTACTTGGGAAGCATCGTTTCAACTACAGGCGGAACTGACGAGGATATCAAAGCAAGAATCGGAAAAGCAAGATAAGCTTTCACTACTCTCAAGTCTGTGTGGAGGTCAACAGCACTCAGCATCAAAAATAAGATCCAGATTTTCAACTCCAATGTGAAGTCAGTGCCACCATACGGATCAGAGACTTGGCAAGTCATGAAGAACACCTCAAGAAAACTGCAGACCTTCATCAACAGCTGTCTTCGCTCAATACTCAAGATCAGATGGCCAGCCAGAGAAGATCAGCAACAGGGATCTCTGGAAACGAACCAACCAGGAACCGATTGTGAAACAAATAAGCAGGAAGAAATGGAGATGGATTGGCCATACTCTGAGGAAACCATCAGGTGACATCACTAGACAAGCCATTGCTCGAGTGGAACCCGAAAGGGAAGCGGCGAGTTGGTCGTCAGTGCAAGGGTGACTTGGAGGAGGTCATGTGAAGAGGAGATGAAAGCGTGTGGGCAGACTTGGAGCCAGGTGAAAACTCTAGCAGAGAACCGAACGCAATGGAGATGTGCGGCTGAAGTCCTATGTTCCTCTAGGAATTAAAGGAAATAATAATAATAATGTGTAAAATAAGGGAGGTATTGAAAGTGGACGGAGTTACAAGGAAACAGATCCTGCATAGTCCTGGATTCACAGAGAGTATTAGCGAAACTAAAAGACAAATTCAGCGAGAAAAATTTTCTTTGTCGACAAAATCATCTTCAGAGACTGTACAGTCGTATTTCTATTAACTAAAAATGTAAAGTGGTCAAAATTATTAAGTAACAGGGGATGAAATAATTTATATAATTACCCAAAGTGGCTTTAGAAGAAAAAAATAAAAGTTGCAAATTACTTGGTACTGGACGACACAAAGTTAGAAATCTGATAATGTTAAAATTACTATTGAGTGAGAATAAAGGTAGTTCAATGTCAATATAACGAATGTGAAGAGGGTTAGAAATCGTACAAAAAGAACATGTGATAGTGATAATAGGGAACTGATCATTAAAGAGAAAGTAAAGTAACCATTAAAAATGAAAAGTAAAACATTAACAAGGAACGACTAATGAAATTCTAAGTGTTAAGGTATATTTACGAGTTGAAGAGGTTAAGACCATGGTAGAATAAGAGACTGGTCAAACATTTTCTGTATACAGAGTTCGGGTTTGTATTGACGAATTGTCAGCGCCTCCTCCATACACAAATGCCGAAACCTGACGATCTTTGTACCATTCGGCCTCACCTTGTAGATGATCTTGAAAGACGACTCTGGTGCAGCTACGTGGCTTGAGTTCACCAAGTTCTCGAAAATTGAGCTAATAATTGTCTTGCATTGTCCCTTAGCTTCGCTGAATTTTTCTTTTATTAGTGAAACGTTGAAAGTACTTTTGTTCACTACTCATTCGAGTTCCTGGCGGAATACAGTGCTTCAACAACTCACTTGTTTTCTTATTAATATCCGCAAGCTATGATTTCCTCCTCACACGACCTCCTTCATGTCACCTATTCTGGTTCGGCTCGTAACCCTTAGGCGTGGAGTTGCCTAACGTTCTCCACAGTGTGTCCTACCCATCTTCAGTTTTTATGAGGCAACAGGTTCTAAGTCAGTCCATTTCCAGTGTTCTATGGGGATAGCAAAGTCAGTTGTTGACCAAAAGTAGCCAGTGCATTGAAAATACTTATAGTGACGCATGCATCAATTCTCTGAACCTTCCAGAAGCACTGACTTGAAATCAACGTCGAAAATTCGAATCTTATGTCTAATGTTAAGTGCGGTAGATTTTCACATTGATTTCGGAGTCACAAAAGGTGCATCTTGCTTCTCTGATTCTGGATGACCTTGATGTCCTCATACGTGCCCTGTTTAAAGTATTGAAGGGGTACACCACGACCGTTATGTCTTTTTTTGACTCTCTGTGTCGTTCACTGTTTTCGCATAACTTTTCAATACTCCTGTTTCTATTTCAGGGTCACATTGTACTATTCAGAAGACACATATATCCTACTTTCAAAGAAGCAGAAAGTGCAGTCGGTGGATTGGCTGTACTCGGGATAATGCATTCAATTGTAGACACTCAAAACTTTAATGAGACAATTTTTAGCGTATATCAAAACTTCGGTGGTACATTAAATCCAAGCTTTACACTACACCAATCATATCCAATTGATGAATTCGATTTAGCAAAAACATTAAACTACTTAAATCCAAATAGTTATTATCGATATTCTGGTTCATTGACAACACCACCATGTACAGAAAATGTCTTGTGGACAGTGTTCACTGATCCAGTACCAGTAACGCGTGCACAAGTAAGTAATATTTTATGGTGGTTTACAGTGTCTCATATTAAATAAATCCTTTCGGGATATTTTTTTGCTTTTTAGTTGTTTATAGTACTTAAAAACATTTCAGTACACCCGCATGAAATGCATAAATGCAATTTACTGGAAAGTATTGAGACAACATTTGTTGAAATTCCTTTGTATTTTCCCATTTTGAAGCAGTAATATAATCTGAAATAGGAATATTTACATGCATATATACAAAAGTATTTGTAACAGCCAGGTGCAGACTTTTATCAAGAGCTGACTTTACTTGCTGTACACTAACGATCACATGGTCGGCCAGGAAGAATCAACAATAAGAAACTCTGGTTGTCAGGGAAGCAATCAACAAGCTGTCGCTCAACACATGTGCCGAAGGAAATGGAGATGGATTGGACGCAAACTGAGGAGACCGCTGGTTGACATTACATGCTGGGTCCGAAGTTGATATGGAAGAGATAGTGTGAAGGGTAGAGGAAAGTTTATTGGTAATCGTGGGACCACCTGAAGAGGAATGCAGAGAACGGTATAAAATGGGGACGTGCTATTAAAGTTTTATACTTCACTTGGAACCCTGCCTGTAGATTTTCATGAACAGCTTCCGTCACTTGATAGTGAATTTAAAATGTCAGAATAAAGTTGATACATATTTATTAACTACAATATTGCCCGTTATTTCAATTCATTTGTTGACCACATAAATTTGATATTTCCGTGGTTTGAATTTTCACATCCATAAACACTCGGTCATATAGACTCTAATATTAGAATTGTATTCAGAATAAATTGTCACAGGTAGTTTCACAGGTAAACTTGAAAGCATTATCTCATCCCTATTATATAAGTGTGTTTTTTGTGATATAAACAGCTTTAAGAACTCGGAGAAATCGGCTAATATTGCAGTTATATATCAGACTGTTGGAGGCAACCGCCAAGAAGCCCTAGCACAGAACTTCATGGTTGTTGGCACTTGTCGGCAGGGTGTATCTCCAACTCTGGAAGAATTCATGTCTGCACCAAATGCATAACACTGGATACTACCTAGTGACCAGAAGTTGAATCGCTAGCCCGAATAACACGATGATACCATCTCTAACTGCAGCACTGGGTGACGCGGATTCGAATATTTGTGAGAACTCAGATTGCTTCAAGACTGCAAATAACGCCGTGCTGACGAGTGACAACTGGTATGAAACGCGGGTACAGGGCTTCCTTTCGATCGCATCTGCTTATCTAACATCGAATCGAAGTGTGCTATTATGGTGAACTACCTAGCTTGGGGACTTGACCGGTAGAATTCAGTCTGCAGTAGGTCATGGACTAGATTCATGATATTGGGTACTATGTACTGACCAATCTGGGTACTGTTTCTGAATGTAACTACACTTCACAATCACTGAGTAACGACATACTTAATGGTGCCTTTCGCTCGAAATTCCATTCAGCTTCATTATATGTAGTATGCTGTGCTATAGACAGACGGGCGAGTAAATTACACTTGCTCTTTGCCATAGGCTAAATGTAGGATTTATATTTTGGTACTTTTAATTCAGAAATTTTACTGCATTCTGAAGATTCATTGCATCCAGAGGATCAAGAATGTCTTTCCTGGAAGAATGGCAATAGAATCTTTCTGTGTTTACCATTGAATAAACAGTGGCAATTTAAACCACAAATTGTTCAATAGCTTGTCCAATAGTATGCTACGATTGAATTAAATGTAAGTGGGGTGATTTCAATTGATTCAGCTGTCTAATCTGAGTCATATCGGGCACGCCAGTTATAACCTCGGCCCCAAACGAGCGAAACAGTGATCCGGCGGTTTAGATTTCCACCTGGCATAGCAAGCACTTCTGGTTGATGTGAGTGATATCCAGCTACTCATCTAAATCACTAAGTAGTATGTAGTTTGCAACATTAAAATTTTCAATAGCAATTATAATGATACAATGGCATCTCCTTATCCCGTCAGTAATGCAAGCCAACTGAAGTAACGATAAAAAATACGCATTAACCCGTGTGAGACAGATTCACCTATTTAGTTACTAGGTTTAATTAGTCCTATTTTCATCAAAAGACATATACCCCCAAGCCAAACTACCAAACCAAAGGCCCCCAAGGAAAGCACAAAGAAAGTCGCCCTGCCATATATAAAGGATATATCAGAAATCATTGCAAGACTCGTCAAACCTTTAGGAATTGACGTCGCACACAAACCAACAAAATCACTTCACTCAACTGGCTCTGTATCAACCAAAAGACTCAGCAGCGAAAGAAGATAAAACCAACATCATCTACAAAATAAATTGTAACAACTGCGAAAAACACTACACTGGCCAAAGTGGACGTCCCCTTCGTCTTCGTATCCACGAACATAAGCTAGCCGTCAAAAGACATGACATCCACTCCCTCATATCACTACATACAGACAACCACGGGCATCAATTCGATTGGGACAATGTTCAAATATTAGACAGAGGAAACACCAAAAATGCTAGAGAATTTTTAGAAGCTTGCCTGGTATTCCAGTGAATCGTCAATCAATAGACACATCGAGATAGACAAAATTTATCAACCGATAAGAAGAAAATCTCACACACAAAGGGTCAAAGTTCAAGTCAAAGAAACAATCAGTTCCAATACAAGTAGCCTAGAAGGTGTGAAAACACACAAAAACAACCAATCACATCCAAGGTCACTGGGAGAGATGATGAATAAACTCGTAGAGGAATCTGAAAGCTAACTTCAAATTGAAGTATGCGTTGAAGATGTCAACTAGTAGGGTGATAAAAGCTTCGCAAATTAACTGTCCAGCTCAGAGAACACAACCACATCAAAAAATTCCTATTTTCCTGTCAAATTAAGTTTTATTATGAGAAACCCGTGAAAACTTTACATCATTAAAAAGCTGCCAGTTAGGTGTTTAAGAATTATCTTCCCACATGCTACACACATCTTTGCTTCAAAGGTAGAATGATCAGAAGTCACACATGCGGCCCAAGGTCGATTCCTGAGGCTCGCGGTAGTAAGCTTGGATGAAAGAAGAAGGTTGTACACGAGGCTATCGATCCTACCTTGGTAGTAGACGCTGGCTCTATTGAAACTTCGAAGCCCCAAGCTTGCGGCTGCATGTTCCACTCAGAATTTTAAGAAATATAAAGAAAGAGTAAAAAGAATGTTATTCACACTGTATTGCTGTCTCATAATTTTTACTTTAGCATGTTTTCATAGCGCTAAATGCACGTGATTTAATGAAACCTTTATTCACTAACCTCTCCTCTTTTTGCTCATCCTTTTTTCTTTCAGTTGAATCAACTTCGCGGTATACCAAGTCCATCGACTGAGAAAACCAATAATTTGTACGATAATTTTCGTCCATTACAACCATTAAATCCAGAAGGTCAACTTATACCACGAGTTGTTTATCGTGCAGCCGCATCAAGTCTTCCTATACTTTCGTTAACATCAATTCTATTCATCATAGCAGTTACTCAATTCAGCTTAAGATTTTAAAGCCAAATTCAGTTATTTTAATGATTACTGTATTTGTAAAACAAAACACTGAGCCCTTCCCTTTTTGTTTTTAGTAATAAAATGCGTTTATTTATCTTTATAACAATGAACATTTTAGGTAGATGGTATACTACTTAAATAATTTACTTATCTAACAATTACTGCTTATTAGCGATTGTAAATATCACCACCATATTTGATTGTATGTTACATCGAAATCTTCGTTTCTTTGAATAATAACTGGTTCTTCTTCTTCCTATTATTTTTATTCTGTTCTTATTGACTGTATTGAAACTCACGGGTGATAAATGCATTCCAAGCCTGACTGATGCTTTACACCTTATGTGATGTTCAGGCTATTTTAACCACAGTTTTACTGAAGGCGATTTGATGTAAGAACTAATACACAGTTTCAATTTATTCAAATATATATACATATATATTATTGTTATTATTCTCATTGGGTTCAAAGTGAAATATAGGGCTTTCAAAGCACATCTCCAACTTCGTTCTTTTCTCTGCACTCCCCTTTAGCTGACTGCATTATCGCCTGGTTATGCGATCTTTTACATGTCACTATCAGACTCCACGACCAAATTGTTGTTACCAAACTAGGGTTTAACTCAGAAGCCTGGCGCTTCATGACTTCAGTATGCATGTGTCTAATCCATCTTCATTTCCTTCGACGTATTTGTTCGACAGTTGGTTGTAGGTTAGTTAGTTATTTGCCAGAGTTCAGTGTTGCTAGTCTTTTCTTGCTGTCCATCTTGCCTTCAGTACTGAGCCAGAGCAGGTTTTTATTCCTTTACGTCCCCAGTGGAATATATAGGGGGCTTCAAGCTAGAGGCTTGGAGTTTCAGTAGTAGTGCAGTTTACTTTTACGGAATGGGGTTGCTAGCCTCATGCCCAACCTTCCCTCTTGATTATTCTTATTACTAGCCAGAGAGGTAAAGGAGTGCGTCGGTGTCCGGGATCGAACCCCGAACCGCATGCGTAGTCGGTGAGCATTCTACTGATGTACCATCAACGGTCAGGTAGCTGTTACAGAATTATTACCTTGATCTTCACTCCTCTTCTTATGGAATTTTCAAGTAAAACAGTCAACTAGATAATGTGATTTGAAAGAATCTTTTTCTGTCTGCAACTTGCTCCAAAATCCAACGTGTTTATCCCTTCACAGCAGGCCAAGTTGTATGGTGGAAGACACTCAAAAAATGTACGTTACTACAGATTGTTCTTCAAAGTGGTTAAAACGAAGTATAGAACGATTAAATTTTTGACGCACTATGTTGTGAATAGAATTCGGCGGTAGGGTAATTTAAACAGACTGGCAGTTTATTATTTTTTCTAAGAATATTCCAAATGAGTATTCTAGATAATAAGACAAATGTCAGTTGTTTTTACTGCAAAGATTTTGAACGTATCGCTTGCTTAAGAAGACTATGACTCATGTGCACAATACACTGCACGGTAACCGATGCAGAGCAGGAGAAAGCCGTAGGGTAATACGATTGTTTGATGTTCCACCGACAACGAAACAGAACTACAAGTTACTGCTGGAAAAGTTTGTAAATTAACTTTGATATAATGTACAATAATACTTCTGGCCGTATTCGTCCAGTCTTCTGCCAACCAGTACACAATTAAGCAACGATGGCCTTCTTGTCTGCCGCCAAATGAGGACCAATTCGAATAAACAAACGATTCAGCTTTCACCAAGATTGACAACACATGTTATGGCCTGTTATTAGAAGATTGAAGACTACATCATCTGTCTCATCTACTTCACTGTTGCTTTCCAATATAATTAAACTTCCTAATCCATCTTGGTTCATACCGTCCACATACTCAATTACAACAGCAACAATCCAATAACACACCAAAGGAGTTGTATACAAACTCTATTCAGTAGGACCAGGACTCATTGCAGCACTCCCACCCTTAAGGGAAATTGAAGAAAGATACCTCATGGAAGTCTTCCAAAAGAATGGATATCCACGGAATTTCATCAAAATACATATACCCCCAAGCCAACCTATCAAACCAAAAGCCCCCAAGGAAAGCACAAAGAAAGTCGCTCTGCCATATATAAAAGATATTTCAGAAATCATTGCAAGACTCATCAAACCTTTAGGAATTGACGTCGCACACAAACCAACAAAATCACTTCACTCAACTAGCTCTATGTCAACCAAAAGACTCAACAGCGAAAGAAGATAAAACCAACATCATCTACAAAGTGAATTGTAACAACTGCGAAAAACACTACATTGATTAAAGTGGACGTCCCCTTCGTCTTTGTATCCATGATCATAAACTACTCATCAAAAGACCTGACATCTACTTCCTAATACCGCTGCACACAGACAATCACAGACATCATTTTGACCGCGGCAACGTTTAAATATTAGACAGCGGAAACACCAAGAATGCTAGAGAATGTTTAGAAGCCTGGTGAATCGTCAGTCAATGGACACATCGAGATAGATAAAACTTACCAATCGATAAGAAGGAAATCTCACACACCAAAGGCTCAAATTTCAGGTCAAGCAAACAATCATTACCGATATAAGTAGTCTAGAGGGTTTGAAAACACACAAATTAACCAATGTCGTCCAAGGTCACCAGGAGAGATGACTAATAGACTCGTGGAGAAATCTAAAAGCTCACTTCAAATTGAAGTATGCACTGAAGATGTTGTCTAGTAGGGTAACAAGAGCTTCGCAAACAAACCATCCAGCTCAGAGAACACAACTACATCAAAATCATCCACCTGAGCTACAAATCTTCCCTATCAGATTGCTGGTCAGCATATTAGCATTTAATACTAAAAATAATGAAAATGTACCCATATTTGCTGTCGAAATTTGAGGATAATTCTGAATCATGACAGTTGTTAGTACTTAATTAGAGGTATAGGGAGAATTGCAGTTCAAAATGTAAATGTACTTCTTGTTAATTATTCAAAATATTTCCCCTGTATAATAACTTATATTTTCTATAGCAAAATGTATTTCAGTAGGTCTAGGGTTCGATTCCGCGCCAGCGGATAACAAGGCTACACCCAATGTACTAGCCAGTAGTTAGTGCGGGAAGAAAAGAGTGTTAGGCGTAAGGATGGCGAATTCACACCATACGAATGAAGCTATGGCTACGATAACTTCAAGACTTATAGTCTGGAGTCCTGTTGTTCTCGTCTGAAGGCAAATGAGTGAACGCTTTATAGCCAGAATGGTTGACAATAATAAAATAAATTATCTGACAATTAGTCGGTTATACAGAGTAAAAGTACATACTGTTAACCAGTCGTATACTAACAAGGCAATCAGTCTGTGGTGAACAAAGGTTGAAGTCTTTTGTTTTCCTTCTGTACATGTAGTTTGGGACTAATTCACCTTTAGTTTCCTCCATTTAGAGCTAACTGTTTGCATTATTTCTGTCTTTTAGCGTTGACTGATTATATTCTACCGAAATGCTCGGTACCTGTTGACATGTCAGCTCTTAATGAAGATGCTTCAACGATGTCTGAGGATTACCATGAGGTTGTTTGGGGGATGGCAATTAAAAGAGGAATCCAGGATGTGCAGTTAGTTAAATTTAGGACATATCTGCAGTCTCCAATGAATGACAATGTTCGCAGCGAGACATGAACCCATACACCCATTCTATCAGACGCTGAAGTGAAGACATTCTCCACGTTAAGTCTCCTTTCGAGTCTCACAGAGAATATCTCCTAAACACTGGGGATTGCAGGTACGTCCAGTTGACGAGTTTCAAGTTAGATGGAATCAGTAGCATTTTGATGTAATTGTGTCCTCTGAGCTGGATGGATTATTTACGAAGCTTTCATTGCCCTATTAGGCAACATCTTCAGCGCACACTTCAATTTGAAGGGAGCTTTTAGATTTCCCCACGAGTTTATTAGTCATCTCTCCTGGTGGTGACCTTGAACGTGATTGGTTGTTTTTGCGTGCTTTCATACCCTCTAGGCTACTAGTATTGGAACTGATTGTTTCCTTGACTTCAACTTTGACCCTTTGTGTATGAGATTTCCTTCTTATCGATTGGTAAATTTGTCCATGTCGATATTTGCCTATTATTAATTGATGATTCACTGGAATACCAGGCTTCTAAAAATTCTCTAGCATTCTTCGTGTTTCCTCTGTCTGCTATTTAAAAGCTCGTTTTCCCAGTCAAATTGATGTCCGTGGTTGCCTGTATGTAGTGAGGCGATATGAGGGAGTAGATCTCATGTCTTTTGACGGCTAGCTTATGCTCGTGGATACGAAGACGAAGGAGACGTCCACTTTGGCCAATGTAGTGTTTTTCGCAGTTGTTACAATATATTTTGTAGATGACGTTGGTTTTATCTTCTTTCGTCGTTGAGTCTTTTATTGACATAGAACTGAGTGAAGTGATTTTGTTGGTTTGTGTGTGACATCAATTCCTAAAGTTTTGAAGAGTCTTGCAGTGATTTCTAATATGTCCTTTTTAAATGGTAGGGCGACTTTCTTTGTGCTTTCCTTGGGGGCTTTTGGTTTGACAGGTTGGCTTGGGTGTATATGCCTTTTGATGAAATTCCGTGGATATCCATTCTTTTGGAAGACTTCCATGAGATATCTTTCTTCAATTTTCCTTAAAGTTGGGAGTGCTGCAATGAGTCCTGGCCCTCATGAATAGGATTTGTATACAACTCCTTTGGCATGTTATCTGATTGTTGCTGTTGTAATTGAGTGAGTATTTGCTCCGTGTGAGTAAATTTTCTATAAATTTGAGTTTCTAATTCCCCTGTGGTTGTTCGTTTGACTAAGGCATCCAAAAATGGAATTTTTTCTCGGATTTTTCTTCTCTTGTGAATTTGATTTCGTTGAAGACGTTGTTTATTAAGTTGTGAGTTTTATCCAACTCGTTTCTTTTGTTAATTACAAATGTGTCATCTATGTAACGTATCCAAATTTCGGGTTTGATGACTTATAAACTCGTGGAGAAATCTGAAAGCTCCCTTCAAATTTAGGTATGCTCTAAAGACGTTGCCTAGTAGGGCAATGAAAGCTTCGTGAATAAACCATCCAGCTCAGAGAACACAACTGCATCAAAATGTTGCTGATTCCATCTAACTTGGGACTCGTCAACTGGACGTACCTGAAATCCCCAGTGAATTATCCACCTGAGCTACACAAATATTCTCCATGATATATAATGAGCAGCATGGATTTCACTGCTAGTCAACAACACCCATTAAATTATTCCTAAATGAATTTTCGTTCTTTATGAATAAGCGCAAATCATGTGAATTCAATTCAGTTAATAATTTATTTACCATATGAAGTCAAGTATGATGAAGATGTAATTAGGTTTTCGACGTTATTTTCTAATTGCTCCACTCCACTCTACTCTAGTGTAAACAATAATTTTAAGTTACTTTGGATGTCTAAGAACCACACA